AGAGCCGCCTCAGGTGCCGTCCACTTGATGGGAAACTTGGCTCCTTGCCGGGCAGTGTACTCCGAGTCCTCGATGACCCTGGCCAGGCCAAAGTCGGCCACCTTCACGACTCGATTCTTGCCGACGAGAATATTTCGCGCGGCAAGATCGCGATGAATCAGTTTTTGACTTTCCAGAAATGCCATTCCACTGGCAATCTGCGCCGCCATGTCCAGCAGGTCGTTAATCTTTAGCTGCTTTCCTTCTCGTTTTCGCAGAAAGTCCAACAAGCTGCCATTACACATGTACTCGGTGATGATCAACAGTGGCTCGCCCTGAGAACAGACGCCAAAGAGCGGCACCAGCTTATCATGACGGCACTTTCTCATGATAGCTGCCTCCTCTAGAAAAGCCTGCGGCGACATGGTCCCCGTTTTCAGCATTTTAATGGCCACTTCGACTTGACCACGATACGTTCCATGGAAAACTTTGCCAAAGTTGCCGCCGCCCAGCTCTCTCATAAACTGCAGGTCATCTCTTTCGATTTCGTCCTTTTTCGATGGCCACAGGTAGGGCTTTGCCTTGGGACAGGCACGCGTGAGAATGTGACAGAGGCCGTTGGAGCCTTCCGAGTAGTACGACACCAGTTCTTGTAGCGAGGTGAACGTTTTTCTGGTGGTCACATAGAAGCCGCCGTTATCCATGGCTTTGATTTTGTAGTGCTTCACATGTTCGCGTTTTTGAGGATCGACGTCTTTGATTGATAATGAATAGGCGCCTGCTGTCTGCTCGCTGTACCGAATAAGAAAGGTTCCACGAGCATTACTACTACAGAGGAGTAGTTTTTCTGCCTCTCTCCTGGAGATTTTGCCGAAAAACCACCTAAAACAGAGGTGTTAGTGGGTAGCCCTTCAAAAGGCACAACCATCGGCGATGCACAAAAAAGCACTTACTCTTCCATTTCGATGACCTCAGAGACGACATAGTTCATAGGAATATAGCCCTTTTGGTTTGAGGTAAGATGCTTTGCGAGCCACCAGTCAGGGTCACTGTCGTCCATGATTTGGAGGCGATCGCCCTTGCGGAAGCTGAGATCACCCTCATCGTTTGCAAAGTAGTTGTACAGTGCGATGACTATCTTGTTTGGAAACTTTTGGGCTGCTGCTCCAGCGGATGCTTTTGCATTAGCTGGCGCCGCCTCAAGATTGGCAACCGCTGCTGATGTTTTAGCATTCGCACTCGGCGGGGAGAGCAAGTTCCGATGAGAGTTGTCTAACTTTGAGTTAGGCGAGCGATTGTTGTCGCAGTACGAGTCTTTGGAACTGGATATGAAGTTGTTCGAGTCTTCGGAAGTTACACAGTTGCCCATTTTGGACAGTTCAAGGCACGCGGTGGTGGTGGTGGCGGCGGTGGCGACAAAGACGTAGTCAGGACCTAATTGAAAGATATGGTAGATAATAATACTTAGAGCAAACACTGAAAGGCAATAATGTTATGGATATTGCACAGCAGCAGTCCCAACTGGAGAGTTATCGACTACCATGGCTAAACGAGTGACGGCGGCGTCAGTGTCTCGGGTGAGCACCGGCGTAGAGTGGAACGCGGCCGCAGTGGCAGCAAAACACCAATGAGGCTCGGATTTTACGAGAGCTTACCTCAACGCTAATGAAGCGAGTAATGGCGAGTAAACAATGAGCAATAATCGTTACGGGTTTGTCGGGCAAGTGTTGTCAGTCGGACGGTCGGCGGTTAGGCTGCCAGTCAAAGGGCTGAAAAGGTGAACGCGCCAATTGGGCCCGCACATTGCGAGCGGTAGGAGTGGACACAATGTGGTCGGGTAGAAGACACCCGCCGAGTGCGGTCACATGATGCGGACGAGACGACGATCAATGTTGAGCATTGGTTATTGCTGAAGATAGTGATGAAGATGAAGATGATGATGGAAGTGGTGGTGATGGTGCTGCTGATGGTGGCGATGGTGATGGTGGTGATGGTGGTGGTTGTTGTCTAGCAGTCCGGTGGGTGCGCCCGGTGGGGACGAATGGTGATAATGCCCAAGTTGCAACAAGCTGCTGCTGACACTCGTCCCGACGCTGAAGCGACTGCTCACAAAACTGCGTTGACAAAGAATGAGGGAGAGGGGAGAAGGAGAGAGAGACTGATTTACACACAGGTAGCAAGAGTCACTTCGAGTTGAAGGAAGGCTTCTCCTTCACCTTCATCCGTCTCCGACAGATACCACTGCGGTCGTTACGGGCTTTGGGTTGCATCAACGTTTTTTCAGTGTTTACGATTTTGTTTTGGAAATTACTTTTGGTCATCGCCGCCATGTCTGGGAATGGAGAAACCAACGGCCAACCGACGGCCTTTAAATTTGGTGGCTTCAAGTTTGCCAAATCTGCAAAACCCAAATCAGCAATCCTCCAGATAGAAAACAAATTTCAAGCGGAAAGTGCTACCGAAAACAATGACAACAATGTGGATTTTATTACCGTTATTGATGATAAGCAAATAAAGGGAACCAAACCTGAATCTTCAAAGACCGGTGAATTGATCATTCCGTTTATAGCTGTGAACAAGTACAAAATCGCCAAAACTAAAACAGAAAATACAACAGACACAACTACCTCAACAACCGAAACCTCAACTGCCGAAAGTGACATTGCTGGTGATCTCATTTCCAAAGCAAAGCGAGAGCTAATTCAAGACGCCAAAAAATATGAAAATGATCAAGACGATGCGATACCAGCATGGAAATTAATGGTCATCAACAAAGCTCCTGCGGAGTATGAAAATGATAGCAAACTAGATGTTTCCATCAGGCCGTCAGAGCCTACTCTGGATGACTATGAAAGTGTTCCTGTGGAAGCATTTGGTTCTGCATTATTACGCGGAATGGGATGGAAGGCCGGAGACCCGATTGGCGGCATCAACAAGGCAATCACGCCCATCTTTGAGCCTCACATTCGAGCAAGAGGTCTAGGACTTGGCGCTGATGCTTCGCTACAAAAACAGCTGCAGAGTTCAGAAAAAGACAAGCGGAAACATTCAAATGATGGCTTTGGCTTGAAAAAACAATCTGTTGATGAAGAAAAAAAGTCAGCTCCGCCGACAAAAGAGTCGTTGGCCAAAAATGGTGGTCATCATCTGGATACTAAAAACTCTCGATCTTCTAAGCATTCTTCGCACTCACGTGAAAGGCGTCACCACAGTCGCTCCCGATCTCCATCAAGGAAAACTCGTGATCATGTTTCTCGATCTGACTATCCAAAGGACCGAGACTCCACTCACAGTCGACATCGGCCAGTTTCGCCGAATTCACGAAAGTCGCCAGTTGAAAGGTACAATCGTCGGCGATCACGTAGCCCACCCAGCAGACGTCACCGGTCACCAGACATTCACCATCGGCATTCTGATTCTCGTTCTCTATCGCGAGGTGCCAGCAGCCACTCCAGTAAAAGACATTCTCCTACTTATTAGCAAAAATGCAAACTCTCTTGAGGGACTGTGATTGACTGTGATTGAGGTCAGTATTTATTGCGACTACTAATTTAGTTTATTTCAATGAATTCTCGCTAATCAAAAGAAATATTTTTACTTTAGGCATTTTGCATAAAAATTTGCTGACATCATCTTTTGGAAAATTGCTTCATACTTCTGCTAAAAAGGNTTGAGGGACTGTGATTGACTGTGATTGAGGTCAGTATTTATTGCGACTACAAATTTAGTTTATTTCAATGAATTCTTGCTAATCAAAAAAAAATATTTTTACTCTAGGCATTTTGCATAAAAATTTGCTGACATCATCTTTTGGAAAATTGCTTCATACTTTTGCTAAAAAGGAAAACGGAAGAGAATTTTTATTGTACTTTGTTAATCAGATGCAAACTTAAAAGTTCTAACTTAAAAGTTACAATTTAAATTTTTAAAGCATGAGATTTAAATAAATGGCGATATAAGCATCCAAGAAAAGTAGATAAAGTGGCCGATCCAGTAAAGTTCACCAAGAATGACCGTCCAATTCTCGTACTCGAGAAAGCCAAAAGATGTGAAAGCATAGCTGAACCTGAACAAAAAGAAATGTAAACGTTATAAAAGAAATATAAAAACCAAAGCATTTAATTACATAAGAATCACATGCAATCGCATTGCAATGTATAGAAGGCACCGAACGATTGAGTTGTCGAGAAATTGTTTAAACTTTGGATTTCGTGAGCATTGTTTGCTGACTATGTTTCCGATCTGAAATAGAATACATTGTTTTTTGTTAATGCTTATTGAAAAATAAAGTTACTAGGCACTTACATCTTTTTCCATGACCATTATAGCCATCTCTAGGGCAAATGTGTTGTAGTAACCCAAAGAAAAGCCATGCCAGATTGATAGAAAAAGAAGAGTCATGAACTGGCTCAAAAGTTTAGAGTTGAGGAACTTCAATCGCTTAAAGATGTACCGAAAGGCAAATTGGTTTGTCGTCATGTTGAAAGACTCGATCAGGCCACCAAAAGTGGTTGTCGTCTCATACAAAGTGACATTGATGTTAAAGCAACGATTTATCTCTCCTGAAGCCGGGTCCCNTTGAAAGACTCGATCAGGCCACCAAAAGTGGTTGTCGTCTCATACAAAGTGACATTGATGTTAAAGCAACGATTTATTTCTCCTGAAGCCGGGTCCTGTGAGATGCCGGACATTATGCAGCCACCTTCGGACAAAAGCCATGCTGAGAGGTACTTGCACAAGACGACCTTGTTGTGAAACGCCAAAAGGCACAGTTTGGCCAATAAATTGTATGATTTCTGAAAACGAACACAATTTTAATGGTTGATTTTGTTAAAACAGCTCTGCAAAGTACACTTACAAATGCTTCTGAAGTGAAGTAGCTTGATGGAAGATATGATAGTCCCGTTTGGTAAACAGCAAAGTACAACACACCCAGGCACATTCGAAAGACCGATTGCTTCCAACTAAAGCCGATAATACAAACGTACAAAAAGATAAAAATGGTAAGAACACAGACCCTTTTTACTTACCAAAAAGGCAGTAAGTTTTCTTTACTTTGGATAAAAACCAAAAAATCTTTAAATCGAAGCTGAGGTCCTATAAGAACCACACTGGGAAAGTACGATTTTGAAAGCGTTTCCAGAAGGGTGGGAGCACTTTCCAAGGCAGTATCTTCATTGGTGCACTGACCACCTTTAGCTTTATTGACCACATTTACCCGGCCATCATAAATGTCGAATCCTTGAGCAATTAATGACAGCGTAAGGACACACTGTGGTAGGGTCCAGGTAAAGGTGGTGCTGTGGGAGCTTTTATTCAGGTAGTACCCGTAGAGGAGATAACTCTAAATAATAGATAAACAGTTTTTAAAAATATGCTTTTCCGTAAATGTATTGACCTACCGAAACAAAGGTGAAATTGACTGCCACCATCGTCCTTGTCGGACCTAGCAGTTTCATAATGGCCCATGATGCGATAATGGTAGCCAACGAGTGACCAGCGTCAAATCCTGAAATTTGCAAGAACTGTTAGTATATAATTTTCAAAATAATAATATTCCCATATTCCGTTACCAAAGTTGTAGTAAACAATCAGCAGGCCACTCACAACGTTAAATATGTGCTTTATTTCCACAGATCGTTTTACAAAAAGTTTATTATATACAATTCCTAAGAGGTAGCCTGTACATAAAGAAATGTAAACATTAAGAGAATATACATAAACAAAGCATTTAAATACATAATAACTGAGAGGCGACAATGCGAAAGACATCGTTTTTGATGCCAAAAGTAGTGGAGATCTTTGGATTGTCTTCGGTGGCGGCCATTTGGAGTTGGGAAATGAAGCAACTAGATTACGACTAGAAGGAGTGAATCGTGTGCACAAAGTTTGGGTGTGAGCAAGAATTGGACAACTGTACAGTGAGAAAAAGGCGACGCTGAGCCTGACCGTTTTTACATATTTAATAGGGGCAGGTTGGTGGTGACGGTCGGCAGTAGTTGAAGGATCGATCGATTAGAGAACGGTTAGAGCGGTGCCAAATGAAAAGTAACGGCGTGCCGCTGGAGCAGTCAACTGACTGACTGGGCAGATGAGCAAATTGAGCGTTCTCTGCTGCTGGTGCAAACGAACCGGTCGTTGGCAAAGCAAACTGAAAGCTTGCACATGTTCGATAAGGGCGGTGCGCATGGCTGGAAAAAAAGTCTGAGATTGGGTTCAGCTGGGCGGCTGTGTGAATCAATAACATGCCATGCAGTGAATGTGTATGTGTGTGTGTGTTTGTGTTCTGCCAATCGAGGTTGAATGATACGGATGAACTGGTGTGCATTGCAAAAGTGTGCTTCACTGGCGATTGGTACAGCAGATAAGTTAGGGGAAGCAAACTAGTGCACGAGGATGATGGCGAAAGTGTTGATGAAGCTCGGGATACGTGTGGTGAAATAAAATACTTCTTAATTATAGCTCTACTTTACTCATTCTCGGGCCCTTTTGACGTTTAGGAAGCGTAGTCTTCTTTTTGGCACTTCCGGCTGTTGATGAGTCTTTATTCTTATTTTTGGAACTTTTTTTGCTGTAAGGATTTACAAAATCTTCATCTTTTGGCACTACGTTCAGCTGTTGCGCCGCAAGGTTTAGCATCTTTAAGCTCGTGTCGTCAACTAAATTGGCAGATATAGAGAAGGTAAGGCACCATTTGTACAAATGACTCCACTGATTATTTTTCTTCAGTATACGATCACTCATGGCAGGTAGCTTCAGAATAAGTTTGCTAAAAAAGGCACAGTTATCAAGAGTGTGCAGAATACTTTCAAGGACAGTACCAGTGGGAAGGTCACCACCAAGAATGTATTCAGAATTTTCTATCGTTGCTTTTGAAGCTTCCATAGCATCAAAAATTTTGCCGAATATCAACAAGAGCATTTCGTACTTTTGTTCATATCGCTGAAACTTCTTCATCGTCTCCACTGCCTCGAAGTGCTGCCTTTCCTTTAGCATAAAGTAATTCTGAATATCTTGTCGAGTGACTGGCTTATTTGGATCACCTCTGACTGAAGCCACTTCTCCGGCAGCATACGACAACAACATGCCGGTGATTAGTAAGCCGGCACAAATAAGTTGACCTAAATGGTGGGAATTTAAAAGGGAAAAATTAGATCATCATCAGAGGATTAGTGTGCTCCAATCAAGTGGTGGTCGATAACCCAATCACTCACCTGGTGATGACATCGCGGAATGTGCGTACCCTGTAGGTGCAATCACAGCAAGTGCCGATCTTGAGACCAGAAAAGTGGCAACCTTTTTCCTTCTTGTCTATTTTCTGTCGCCGTCGCTTCAGTGGTAATAGCTCGGGCAAGTTGCGTCACACAAGTTGTCTGTTTTGTTTTGACAGCGCACTTTTCTGCAAGTAGTCCGGCGGTCAGACGCTGGTCGTTCTCTTTTGTGCCTTATCTCCTCCTTTGAACTTCCACCAGGGGTCCTTTTATCTCTCTTATCGTAGGGGAACCATCTGCGTGTTCACTATCAGTGCTCGTGTGGTCAGAGTTGTTTGACCATATCGCTGTCTGCAGAGGAACAGCATCGGCCGCAGCAGCAGCAGCATCAACAGATCGTGTCTTTCATTCAGAATCGCCACTTGCTAGTGAAGTAACGCCCCAAGACATATTGCACCACTGGTAATTAGCTGCTTCGCGTTGTCATGATGTTTGATGGCGATAGACAACCACCTCGGCTCCTACAAGTACCAAATCGATCGCCTCTAATCACTGCTCGGGCTCGCGAGTTGATAACCTGTCAGCGGTGCAGTGTGCAGTGTTGTGCTCTATTGTTTCAGCAGCGATGCAAGTAGCTACTCCACCGGCCACTCTCCCGTTGCCTTTCTATGGCAACTAAATAGTTTCTTTTTTAAAACATTTTTAAAACTGCCAAGTCCTTGTACAATGCCTCCGCTCCACTAAAGAGCAATCCAGACCATTACTCTTGCTTCCGATCAGTGTGTGCGGTGGTAGTGCAGTGACCAGTTGATCACCAACCCTATTTTCGACTCAACCTTCTGTTTCATCACTTCGAAATGTCTGGTCTAATGAGAGCATTTATTCGGCGAAAGCCGATGGACAAATCGGAGACTGAAACGAAACTTAAACGGTGTCTTGGTGTCGTCGATTTAACTGCTCTCGGTTTGTAACTGTTACTTCCTTACAGAACACATATTTCCATTAACCATTAGCCACAAATATAATTTTTACCCCTTTCACTTCAACGCAGGTATTGGCTCCACTCTAGGTGTGGGAATTTACGTCATTATTGGCACCGTTGCCGCTCAAAATGCCGGTAATTTATTTATTGTAAAAAGTGGTTTTCGCTATATTTGATTGTTTTCCATCGCTTAGGTCCATCTGTTGTGCTTGCTTTTGCCATTGCGGCAGTATCCAGTATTTTTGCCGGCCTTTGTTATGCTGGTAAGGACTGATAAATCTTTAAAATTAAGGTGGATATCATTATCATTTATTCCTAGAATTTGGAGCACTCGTTCCCCGAGCAGGCAGTGCCTACATCTACTCGTACATCTCTGTTGGAGAGCTTATGGCCTTTGTCATTGGCTGGAACTTGATTCTTGAATACGTCATTGGCACAGCTTCAGTGGCGCGCTCTTATTCGGGATACCTGGATTCAGGTTTATTAGACAACCGAATTGAAAACTTCTTTAAGCAGTACCTGTCGCTGCCTGAATCAAAGTGGTTCTCCTCATATCCCGATTTATTCGCCTTTGCACTGACAATGCTCTTGACTGTCATGCTGGTCATTGGAGTCCAAGAATCAGCTCGCTTCACTACCATCTTCACCGGCGTGAACATTCTGGTCATTTTGTACTGCATCATTGTGGGCTCATTCAAAATTGACTTTCACAACTGGAACATTAGCCCTAATGAAGTGCCGGCTAATCAAAATGCCGGAAAAGGAGGCTTCTTTCCTTTTGGTAAATACTACTTTAAAATAGAGTCATCTTTTTAATGCTTGTTAATANGAACATTAGCCCTAATGAAGTGCCGGCTAATCAAAATGCCGGAAAAGGAGGCTTCTTTCCTTTTGGTAAATACTACTTTAAAATAGTCATCTTTTTAATGCTTGTTAATGACATATTTAATTAGGTATTAAGGGAATGATTTCCGGTGCCGCCATTTGCTTCTACAGTTTTGTTGGATTCGACGCCATTGCGACCACTGGCGAAGAAGTGCTCAATCCTCAGCGTGATTTGCCCATTGGAATAGTGCTTTCTTTAATCATTGTCACCATTGCGTACTGTGGCGTTTCTGCAGTGCAGACGCTGATGTGGCCTTTCTGGGACCAGGTAAGTGGGCTGGAGGAAAATGGACAGTCTTTCGTCGACATTCGCAAACAACTCAACCTTTTCGTTACTTTCTTCCAGAACCAGAAAGCACCACTGCCTTATGTCTTTGAACAAGTCGGCTTTCCTTTTGCCAAGAATGTGATCACAGTGGGCGCCCTCGCAGGTCTGTCCACCAGTCTTCTGGGAGCTATGTTCCCACTGCCTCGAATCCTTTTTGCCATGGCAGAGGATGGACTGCTCTTCAAGTTTCTCGGAAACATTAGTCCTCGTTTCAAGACACCTGTTGCTGCTACTATCATTTCCGGTCTCTTTTCAGCTATCATGGCCACATTCTTTAACGTGACACAACTTGCGGAAATGATGTCAATAGGTGGGTACAAATTGAAACTATACATTTTGTTTACTATAGTTCTTGTTTTCAGGTACACTGCTTGCCTACTCACTGGTGGCCATATCGATCCTCATTCTCAGGTAAGCAAGCAGAGCGTTTGCCGATCATTGCGTTTTAATCATCATTTTCTTGTAGATACAAAAAAGAAGATCAGACTGAGTTTGGAGCCGTGGATGCCATTCAAAGTGCAGAGTACACCGAAAGTCGAACAGATATTTACGAAGGCTCACTGTTTAGTCGAGTGCTCAACTTGAGCAATAAAACTTCTCCTGATAGTTTTTCGTCACGCATCAGTCTTATTCTCATTGGCCTAACGTGTAAGTTACATTTTACCCAGTTTAAACACTGTCGCCCTATTTATCTTCATCTTTTACCAACAGGTTTCTTTACCATTGTCTTTAACGTGTTGATGTTCTTCTACGAAGAGGAACTGTACAGTCTTAAAGTGCCTCTGTATGCGCTTATCCTTCTCATAGTAACGCTGGTGATCATCATTGGCTTGTACATTTGTCTGCAACGCCAGCCAAAGATCACCCCGACTGCCTCCTTTAAAGTGCCCTTCGTGCCACTGCTGCCGCTGTTGAGCGTTTTTAGCAACACGTACCTCATGGTTCACCTGGAGGAGTTCACTTGGATTCGATTTTTCGTCTGGATGGTCATCGGTTTTGCCATCTACTTCAGCTACGGAATCGTCAAGTCGGTTGGCTATTTAACCACAGAGGAGAGGAATCGTCTCAGTCTTGATTCGCCTGCAGAGGAGATACTCCCTGAGGAAGATTGAATGGAACGAAAAGCTGAATTGAATGTGCATGCTCAAATGTGATAAATCCACTCGGTCGGTGATCGAACATATCGACTGCTACTACCATAATATATTGACTTTAAATTTTATTATTAATAAACAATTTTAGTAGATTCCTCTGTTATCCAAAGGTCACTTCACAGTTCCAAATGTCTCAAGGCTCAGCCATTCGTTTGGTTCATTGGGCGCGCAGTCACGTCACTGGAGACGTCATCAGTCGGATTGAGCTGCTCTAAAGACGTCCATATCTACGGTGGCTACCATGCAAAACAAACAACACGGCAGTCCACTATCTGATGCCTGGTTGCCATCGATGGCAAAGTGTGAACACACACACACACACGTTTCGGTGAACGTGAATGGCAATGATTAGCGAATGTGCCCAGGACGTGTCACGCAACGGCCACAGCGGCCCATTTCCTTGTCTAGATAGATCCTATCAAAGGAGCCACTTTCACCTTCGCCGGCAAGTGACGCTCTCCTTCGGTGGTTCGCTCCTCCGAACACCTTGCTCTCTCTCTCTTCAGTGTACTTGCAGCAGGAGCAGTGGTAATCAGCATCATAGTATAGCATGCCTGTGAAGCCCTTCAAATAGTCGAAGAACGGTGTCGTAACTGAACACGGGGCTCCGATTGCGCCCAGTCGCCGCGATGCCTTGCCACTATCGATCGGGCATTGAAATTAGCAATCGGAGGCGGTGGCGGCGGCGGCGGCTCACTCGGAGCCGACAGGTAATCACCAGACACAGTAAGACACAGCAGGCTAAACCAATCGACAACTCTGCAAAGAACTGTGTGAGCTTTAGTCGGAGTGGAGTGGAGCTACCGTGGCCGCCACTTTCCTTGTCCAACTGCACACACACACTACTTGCTTCTCTTCGACAAACTGTTTGCTCTCTTTCTCTCTCTCTCATCACCGTTTTCTTGCGCACCAGTGCATTGCCGAAGCACATTTTTCTGTTCACTTTGTTGCCGCAGTTATAAGAGACGGAAGGTATATTGATTGCAATATTGACCATGGAGGATAGCCAACAGTTCAACTGTGTAAACGACACCGGTGGACAGCAATCGTTCGAAAATGCAAAGTGGTTCCTCGAGAATCTGGTCAACGAATACAAGGCCGGCTTTGATTCACTCAAGGCGATGCTGCCCTTCTGTCGATCTAATCTGGAGAGTCCACAGATGGACCACTTTGACTACGAGATTGCTATGGTGGAAGCAAACATAGCCCAGATTGAAGCTCAGTACAGTAAGTACCACTGAACCAAATGGGAGCAGAATTGTAAGTCAATACTTGATATCTGTCATTTTAACAGAAAACCTTGAATCAATATACCTCGAAAATTACACTACAAAATTACCTGTGGAGTACTACTCAAACACTTCAAACAGCATTCCACCCAGTCTCGAACCAAACTACAGCAGTCACCAGGTAGAGCCGGGTGCCAACTACAACTGTGAACTGCCTAGTTTAGAAGATACAAGTGAAAAGCTGTCCTTGGACTACCTTTTCGATGCGTCGGATGACTTTTTTGAGTTCATCAAAGCCGAAGACAGTGGGAACCTGTTCAGTCGGCAGCCTAGTCATTCTGATCAGGAGAACCATTCTGATCAGTCGTGCATGTTACTACCTATAAACTGTGATCGACCACCGGCAAAAGCGCCTAAACCAGTGAAAACAAATACCACAAAATCCAATCGATGTAAGTTGATGCAAGTATAGAGGTAGATTTACAGACATTTGTAGATAGACATAGACATTATCACTTAGAAATGCCACTCTTCTCATTAGCGTTCCGTTTACATCAATGCATGCAATAGTAGCATCCAAGTTTAATCAGCCAAGGACGTTTTTTGAACAGCTCTCAACAGCAAGTCGAACAAGTCGTCCAGTTCGCTGAAAAAGTCCAGGCCAAACGAGTGCCGCGTCTGGTACAAGTGTGCCTGGGAGGGCTGCAGCTTTGGCAGCTACTACAATGGCGTCGTCAAGCGACACAGTCTGAAGAGGCACAGTGGAAAGATTAAAATCGACAAGTCTTCCAACTCTTCGATGCACCGCTTCAAGTGCGACTGGCCGGGCTGTGAGGTGTCCCTGGTGGCCTACCACAAACTGGTGGAGCACAAGCGAAAGCACACCGGTGAGAAGCCCTTTCGGTGCAAGTGGAAGTCGTGCAACTACGCCACGGCTCGCCTCTACAGTATGATCATTCACGAGCGGACGCACAAATTGGATCCATTTGCAGAGTGAACATGTCACAGTGTGTGCTTGCTTGCTCAGTTGTCAGTGTCAAAGTGCACCACACTGCTCATCGAATGTCATCATAATTCGCCAGTCATCACTGCCATCAACGACATCGAATGGCACTCTTACTCTGGCTAAGGCATCACCAGGATACACCACCACCACCACCGCCAGCATTGAAGCAGTCATCACCGTGCGTACTGTGACAATTGCCATCCAAATTCGTCTCGACTAGCCGCCTGTGTGCGACCTCGCCACTTAATCATCATCCCCTTCTTCGCCGAATGACAGCCGCCTTGGCCAATTAGCAACAAACATTGTTTCGACTGCACATCTGGTGGAAGCTGTGCCAGTGGCCGCACTCTGCTAACTTCTGCGGTAGTTGTGGTGGTGGTGGCCTGCCTTAACGAGCCAATGTCAGCATGAAGCGTCGGCAGTGTCATATACTGCTGTTCACTTGGCGGCATCGCTACTAGCTCAGCACGAGCAGTGCCGTTATTTCCAATCTCTAAATTTATTGTACTTACTTTGCCTTCACTTTATTTTCACTTCTCTTCGCCACCATTACCACCACCACCACCACCATCGCACCACTGGCGCACTTTCAATTGTTGCGCGGCAGTGTATGCTTTCCATTGAAAAGTTTGCGTGCAATAAAAATAGCCCACTCGTTATATAGCCGGATGCGTAGGGAGAGTGGCAGTGCAATCGTCTCCCGCTGTCCCCTCTTTCCCCTGCCTGCTCTATTCCCGCATCTGTCCTTCAGGAACCGTTTTCCATTGGTCGGCCACGAGGTCGTGAGCGATACGGTAGCACGTTGCCTTTGCCATCTGCGCCGTTGCCTAGCCGACTCTCTTCACCGACTTCGTCCCGTTGTAATAATTTTCGCGCGCGCACACGTCCGGACACTGGCGAGGATTGCAGAGTACTGTGTGTATGCTGTGCACACCGTGCACCGTTCTCCTCTCCTCTCCTCTCCTCTCCTGTCCTCCTGTTTACCGTTCGCAGCACTGTCCGACGCAGTGCGCGGGCAATGCGACGCCATCGGTCAATCGACGACGCTGATCGACGCCGATGAAACAGTCAGTCGCTGGCACTAGATGCCCACTAAAGCCCGCCAAACGCGTACATGTCACTTGGTAGCTTGTCACCGAAGACGATGGCAAGCCGTCTGAAGATGCTCCTCGCACTGGTCACAGTTGTCATCCTCAGCTATGGGTCGGCAGAAGGTATGTGAGACTATGGTATGTCCTTGACCTATTGTAGCTGACCGAGTGAGCATTTGTTGCAGCAACAGCCGATTTGGTCCTCCAGAAATGCCTGCCCAAGGCAGACATGGAGAACATTGTCATCAAGTGTAATGTACACGAGATAATCGCCTTCAAGGCGGCATTCTTCACTTCCAGCGCAGTCGACCAGTGTCCATTTGCAAACAGCAACCGGTCAGAGGAGGAGGGAGAGCGGGATGATTCCAATGCCATTAAGAGCACTTCGCTGATGAAAGCCAAAAGCTCGTGCACGGATGACCTTCGAATGACGCTAAACTCGCGGTAAGTAGGACTGTCACTCCGATTCCTTCCTTCCTTCATTCTTTGGCAGCAGCTTAATATCATTCCCGCCAACCGCTCTCCAGGTGCTCTGGTCGTTCCAATTGCACGGTGAATCTGCGCAAAATGCACACTGACCGCTGCCCAGGCTTTGATGGATGGATTAACATCAAATATACATGCGTCAGCCACAAGAAGCTAGTTCAGTACTGCAACATCGACCTGTCCGGCTCCTCGGGGTACGTCACCAACCCCGGATATCCAAAGTTTTATCCGCCATACGTATGCAAGTGGAAGATCAACGCCTTCCCCGGACAGCGAATTCAAATTGAAATTCTCGACTTGGCAATAAAGGAGCCTCGCCTGACAAAGACAAAACTGCTCGGCTATGACTGCACCGACCAGCTGGCCATTATTGAAGAGAATGCCAAGGTAGTGCAGCTCTGTGGAGATGTCAAGTCCAATCTGATAGAGTACCGCAGCAAAAGTGACCACCTGGTGATTGAGTTTGTCAGCTTTGACTTTTCACCCTCTCGAGGCGTCCTTTTCAAATACTCCCGTAAGTTGGCGGAAATGTGTGAAATCCTTCACAATGCACGGCTTAACAAATTAACTTCCGTTATTATTATTCCCAGTGCTGAACTGTCCTACACTGAAAGCGCCCTCCAATGGGTACATGATTCGAAATGGCTCACTGGCTTACTACTGGTGCGTCCAGGATCAGGTCTTTGAGAGCGATGGCGAGCCGAATCTGGTGCTCTTTTGCGAGCAAGACACCTACTGGAATGGCAGTGTGCCTCGATGTGTTCGTAAGTAGAGGGTCGAAGTTTACAAAGTAACTGAAGTTCGTCTAACCCAATTGAATTGCTCTTTACCCGTGTAGCCAAGGAGAATGTCACAGCGCCAGCGTACGCACTGATGCACCAGGGCAAAGTCTCAACCGCCGTGGCCGAATCGCACAGTGCGCCGGAGAAGTACGTCGTCAAGCGAACGAATATACGTGAGTCTATCAGAGCCTATCTGCAGTTCTGGTATTTTAACCTACTCCTCCTCCTTCTCCTCCAGTGCGAAGTCTACTCACTCCGGTCTCCTTTCTCATTTTCATTGTTCTTCTCCTGGTCATAATCATTGTCTCGCTTTTTGCGCTGCGAAAGAAGACAGCTACGCTGACAGCAGTCTAGAGACAGAGTCCCTACTACGCCCTTCACGCCCACTTTACTACCACTACTAAGAAGAAAGTCACTCAAGTCCCTGTGTGTGTCGCAAGACGTCCAAAGGAGTTTAAATCTGTGATAAGCGCGCCCGCAAAGCGCACAAAAGTTTGCTGGTCAGACCAAGGCGTTACAAAGTCCTGACAAAGTCCTCGTTGTTACCTATTTCCAGAGTATTATTACCTCCCTCACCGTCTTCAGTCATAATGTTTTTTTCCAATGTATATATTTTTATCAAACATAATATAAAAACAAGCGCACGCAGAGACCACAAATAAGCTGACTTAGTTAAGGCAAAACACCAAATGTGCTGGGTTGAATACAGACCCAGTTGACTAATTAGATTTTCCACGGCGAAATTTTCCCGTTATCAAAGATGACACAAGTGGAAGGAAGCGGCACTGACTGATTGGCTCGACCATTGGCACTCAGCTGTTCATTGCTAGGCAGATCAACAAAGTCGCGGATAAAGACATCAATATCGTGAAACAACTTGCGGTTTGACGTCACCAACTCGTTTAGCCTGGAGGACAACAAAAATGAGAAAAAATATGAATGGGCAAATTACTATTGCTAGCACTTACTTTTCTCTGTCAAAGAGACTGTTCTTCTGGATGCGGTAGCAGACATTCCGATTTAGATCTCGATCAAAGAGGGGAATGCCAAAGTGACAGTCCAACAGTGACCATTGGGCACTCTTGACAACGCCTGCGCTGACCGCCTGGCCATGCACCGACTGGTGGTGCTTGTACTTGATCAACGTCAGGTAGCCGCAAATCCGTCGTAAATCAATGTGCTCCAGTAAGTTAACAATCGCCCGATTGTCCTTGAACATACTGAATGACTGGTCTTCCTCGAGATTATCAAGCAGTGGCAAAGGCAGGTAGATAAGCTCATCGTCGGCAATTTTGATGCTATTTGCCGGGTACGCCTGAATAAGCAGTGGATTGTAGATGGCCGACTCGTTGATGGCAATGAGGGCATTAGACAGGGGCACAATGCCCGAGTCACGACCCCAGCTGGTGATCATCAGCGCGTCGTACTTGTGGAACATGTTCGGCAGAGCGTTCAGCCGTACGCCTTTGGAAAGCAACAGCGACGGTGGGCCGCACTTGGTGATCGAGTACAGGTACAGCTTGAACCAAATGGAATTGATCAGCGAGGACGCCCCAAAGTAGGGGATCTGCTCGCAGGTGATGATTTGCGTTTCATTGCTCAACGGCGCGACAGATATGAGCAGCTCGTAGTTGCGACTGAGCAGCCGCTCACACGACTCAATATCGAGATTGAGCAAACTTTCGCAGCGAATGAGGTCCAGGCCTAGGCCCGCAGCATTAGGAGCCTCTACTTCACAGTCAGTTAAATTTTTCGTCAGCTCAAGATTGTTTCGCAGGAACTGTATGGTCTGGCAGAGAATGATGGCGTGAAGAAAGTACCGCTCAGCTTCGCCGCCTTCCTCCTCCAACGTGAGCTCGTTGATCTTGGCCAGCTCAGTGACAAAGCTGTCCATTGACTCGTCAGACAGTTTGCCCACCTCAAACATGGTCACTGCGTGCGATTTTAAGCCAGGGGTCAGGTTGCCCATCATGAGGAAGGCAGCCAGTGTCGAGTCGTACAGCAGACCCATTCGCTTTCGGTTGTTCGACGCAATGAAAGAGCCCGTCATCAGGCTGGACGATTCGCCCGACAGCTGCTTGGTGATGGCCTGGCTTGGCTCGCTTTCACTACTCTCACTTACAGTGCTGTGACTGGGCGTCACCGTCGCCGTGGTCGATGAGGCTGTCGCTCCGGCCACTACGCCTGCTGTCGTCGTCTTTTCTTCCTCTAAGTTACTCAGAGAATTCAGAAAGTCGGAAATGTTTTCGGTCAACTTGGAGACGCTTCGCTCCGAGTTTGTCGTTTGCAGATGCTTTAGCCAGCTTGGATGGCAGGCGTTGACATTGATATCGTTATTTTTCTTAAACGCAAATCCTAGTCGACAGTACATTGAGATGGCGTTCTTCACTAGACTCAAATCAATTTGAAGCACATCAGATAGCTCCAAAATGGTCGTTTTTTCGTCAATAGAGACAAAAATCTTATAGAGAAGTGTTTCAAAATAGTCCCCAGTAGTGCGATTCATCACAAAACCTTCGAGCGGCGGAATGTAGATTAGATCATTATTATCGATGAGAATGTCAAAGTAGATGAGTCCTTTGATGTAGAGACTTTGAACGTCGTCATAGTTGAAGAGACCGGCGTTGAAAACCTTACTGCTCTCATTAAGAACCGTATCAATTAGACTCTTTTCATTTGCCGTCACCATGGACTTCATGTCGTCCTCGGTGATGTACCCTGGTCGCACCACCCACCAGAAATCAATGAACAGGCTGTCAACAGGTTTGCTCGGCAGTAGCTCCTTGATGGGCTTTTTGATCATGCCGAGAAACTTTTTCGAAGACTTGAACTGATTCATCAGATCGATATACTGATTTCGACCAATGCCAAGCAAGCGAACGCAATCAGCTGCGGTAAAGTTGGGCAGTGTATCGTAGTTCTTTTCAGACTCAATCATTTGAATGAGGATCGACTGGTAATATTGAAATGGCGTTGTTCGCATGCCTGAAATTATGTAGTTCGATAAATGATAAGGAAAAAGCATGTAGTGTTCCCGACTGTATCGTAGCAGTTGATCGTAGTAATCACGCTGACTCTTCTCTACATAGCGAACTGAAAGTATAAAGATTAATAGATGCAATCACTAATCAATGGTATAGAACTCACTTAAATTCTCCTTGTACTTTAGTTGGTGAACTATAGAATATTCCTTTATTTTCTTTGCGTACTCATCGGCATTTCCAACAAGCTGCAAATTGAGAAATCAGATATTGTAGTTTCAGTATTTGGAATAAAATAACAAAAGAGCAACTTAAAAAGTCAACAACTAGTCATACCGTTTTAACGTTTGCTGGCAACTTGACCCATGCAACATTCTTGGCAATGTACTGATTAATTTCCGCCATTGTTTGACAATACTGCTGGGATGTGGAATGTGAGGTGATTAATGAGAAAAAGGTGCTGAGTTTTTTGGGTTTGGTGCCGATTTGGCAAGATAGTGTTGGTCTGAAAGATTTTCGCTTGTTTGGGTTTCGCTCGCGCCATCTACTCTGAGAGTTTTGAGTTGGCGCTCTGCTTGAAAAAGGGAGCCAGCTTTGAAGATGTTTCAAGGGGTTCCCAAATTGTCGAAGAGCTCACAACCTGAACAGAGAATCCAGTGAGCATTTTTGTAACCGCTTCATTAGAGGAGTTTTCGAATGACACCAATATCTGCACTGTGAGATCCTCAATTGCTTCGTGTTGTTGAAGCTTCTGTTCAAGTTGTAATTTGAGTATGCTTTTCAGTAATCGTTTCAGTATGATTGTGCAGTCTTCGCTTGCCAAGTTGCCATTAATGTTTGAGAGGAAATCGTGAAGAACTAAAAAACCAGTTTCCAGAATGTCGTACAGTTCACACTGAAGCAAATGATCTAAAAGTCCATCCAGTGCGTTGAGAAGGTTCTTGGTGAATTTTAGCAGACTACATTTCATCAACGGGAAAAGGTACATTTGCATCGCTTGAAGATGTTTTTGAATGAGTACCGGTTTGGCTTGAATAGTGTATAAATTTTCCACTAACTGACCAAAAACTTCATCCAACTTTTGGTCTGCATCTAACATTGTTTTTAGGTTTTTTGACTTGAGAGCATGCTCCAAAGCGGGCTTCTTTTTCAAGCTCTCCACTAAAACTAGATGCAAATTTTTCATCAACAAATCAAATGTCTTTTTGTTTGTACTGTAGAGCATGTGTCGCAGCCTCAGGTAAACAAACTGATCGTAGCCATTCTTCTTGAGAATTTCAAAACAGTTCAGCTGCTCATCGTCAGCGTGTTTGTGCGTCAGTAGCAGGTGAAGGCACTTTAAACCGACAAGTTGGTTTTCAATTAAAAAATGTTCAAGACATTTGGTGGTCATAGGGAAAATGTCGTACACGTACAAGTGCAAACTTTCAACTCTGAAGTAGAAAAATAAATAATGTAAAGTGATTGAAATCGGAACGGAGTTACGCCAAAACTTACTGGATCTCCTCGATAAGTGGCATCAGTCTACTTCCAAGTGAGTCCACATTTGGATCACTACGCAATGATTGCAACCGTTCTTTCAGTGAAGGTGAATCGGACATTATGGCTCATCAATTTAGACCTTGTTTTTGAGTCCGTTTGATAACAGTTTTCTTTTTCCGAGTCCAAAAACAAAACAAAATCACATGTGATCAATTGACGACCGCAGGATAGGTGTAAATAGCGTAAACAAAAAAAACGAGGGGGAGACGATTTTTATTCCCCACACAAAACAGTGCAAAACACGCCATTTTCAAGAATTTTTTTAGCGGTGTTCCCATGATCAATTTGCTTTGAACAAAATCTCATTTTACGCAGAAAGGCTTCTAGTTTAACATATAATTTTCCCAAAACTTTTTCCCAGCTGTAACTAGATCAAAACGGAGATTAAAAAGTTTGTTTTGATTGACATTTTTGATGGCAGCGCCATCTCGAGGCAAAAGTTGTAACCTTGACTAGTTGTTAAAATGCTGATTTTGTTTTGCGTTCTTCTGCTGTCGCAAAGCTCTCAACACATGTGCGCAAGCCTACCATTTTGCCACGAGATGGCGCTGCCATCAAAAATGTCAATCAAAACAAACTTTTTAATCTCTGTTTTGATCTAGTTACAGTTGGGAAAAAGTTTTGGAAAAATTATATGTTATACTAGAAGCCTTTCTGCGTAAAATGAGATTTTGTTCAAAGCAAATTGATCATGGGAACACCGCTAAAAAAATTCTTGAAAATGGCGTGTTTTGCACTGTTTTGTGTGGGGAATAAAAATCGTCTCCCCCTCGTTTTTTTTGTTTACGCTATTTACACCTATCCTGCGGTCGTCAATATTGGCTACAGTGGAAATAGTCGTGCAAGACTCAAGTTCAAAATATTGTTTCAGCGGCTTCAAAAAGAAGAATAAGATAGTTTTATTTGAGTGAAGTGACCTTTAAATAGGTTCAGTGTTAAAAGATTTACAATGTAAAATTATGTTAGTAATCAGCGGCAAAAGAAAAATGATATATGCCTATTCGTCTTTTGAGTCTCCGATGCCATCGTGGTGAATCGCAAAAAGCGCTTCTTCCTCGGGTAAACTTGGCGAATCGTAAATTTTACAATGACGATTTTCTCCTTTGCCTTTGCGAAAAGACAGCCGGGTCGTGGACGCGTGGGCGATAATGTGTCCACCAATTGGCCGCTTGGTTTCACCGCTGAACATTGAAGACTCAGGATTTGCCACCACCTGGTTTGTGATGACAACAGCAATGCCGAATTCATCAGCAAGACGCTGAAGCATACGAAGAAAGCGAGCCAGGTGCATTTGCCGAGCAGCCAACTCGGAGCGTCCGCTAAAGTCAGTTCGGTACAAAGCGGTAGCGCTGTCAACGATCAGAAGAGCGTATCTAAGCGAGAAAGTCGGCAATTAGGCTATTATTTAGCATTCACTTAAAAACGCTTACCTTGACTCTGACATCATCGCTGCCGCATCAATGAGGAGTTGCGTCTGATGATCGGTGTTGTAAGCTCGGGCGTAAGCTATATTTTCCAACACCTCTTTTGGGTCCATCTTGTAGCGTTGAGCTATGGAGATGAAGCGCTCGGGGCGAAAGGTACCTTCTGCGTCGATGAACATGCATTTGCCTTCGGCACCGCCATTATCGATGGGCAACTGACAAGTGACTGCCAGTTGATGACACAGTTGAGACTTGCCGGTTCGAAACTCGCCGAATAGTTCAGTAATGGAGCCAGTTTCTATTCCTCCCTTGAGCATGGCATCAAGTTTTGATGAGCCAGTTGAAATCATAACAATTTCAGCTCGCTTTGCGTGGTATTCTGATGCAGTTGAGAATCCCATCGGCACCATCTTCAGTGCAGCAACCTAAAAAGATGTCTGTTAGGTATTGTTGATTTTCCCACAATATCACTACAAAAACAAACCATAATCTTGTCAACTTTCTGCTCGGTGATGCCTTTGATTGTAGCTAGAGCCTTCTTGGTTGAGTAGGCAATTGACTCGACGGTGTGATATCCGCTGTCTCGCAGTTTTTTAACGTCCGTAGTTGCAATGCCACATTCCTTGAGAGAAAAAGAATAAAACTTAATTAAGAATCAAAGCATTTCATCATCGCTTACTTCTAATTTTTGAACTGGCGTAAAAGTAGTTTCAAACTCTTCAGTTTCCTCCTCGCAAGTGGATTGATCATTCTTGCTGGTACTAGCCATTTGACGAGTGGCCGAAGTTGTGGCCATGATGAATGGATTCTGAGATTCAGGGAGAAANTTGACGAGTGGCCGAAGTTGTGGCCATGATGAATGAATTCTGAGATTCAGAATGGGACAAAGTTTTTAGTGCCAAATCAAAGTTCAGTTACAAATGGTAACTTACGATGCGTTGACTAACGTAAACCTACGCTGACTGTTCAACGCGAGGTGAGCCGGTTGACTTTTAGCGCCAAACAGTAGTTGTTGCTATTTCCACCGTTTCTAGCGATGATGCAAGCGCTCAGCTCTGTCAACGAGTGGCGTAAACAACATTTGGAACATCAAAATAAACAAACTTTTTGAACTTCCAGCCAGCTTTCTAGTAGATTCCAAATTCCTTGAAAATGACTGAACAAAAAATATCTCACACTACTGCTCAGGATCCTTGGCCCATGGTTGGAGAGGCTACGCTAAATGGAACAGCTGGTAATACTCACTTTGACGACAACTTTACCCAACTGAAAGATGACGAGTCAAATGAAAATGGCCTTCAGTTACCAGAATCTGAGCATTACTTGGCAGTACTAGGTAACTTTTTATTATTTTATTTTAAATTGAGACTAACAAAAAAGTTCTATATTGTTCTCTTGGTAGAAAGAAAACTAATGCGCATTCAAAACAAGCAAAGTGGCAAAAAGGATTCCAACAAAGCTGAAATCAAAGAAATACTAAAATCTCTCAATGCAAAAAGAGACGCTTTGTTTCAGCATGATTTGCCTATTACATCCGATGCAGACTTTGATGATACGGCATTGGCGTCTAACGAATCGGTTGGAAAGTCTTCTCAAATACAAGCAATATCAAGCCTAATAACCAACACAGCTCTTTATGGTGTACTTGAAAAGAAAATTGCTCCACAAAATCAAGCACTTGATGCTGAAGAAGTAAAGAAGCTCTTGGACGCTGATTTGCTAAGCTTGATCAAAGAATCTGAATCAGCAAATGCTAGTTTGCCTCCAAAGGATGTAGGCAACTCAAAGAAGGACACAAAGTGACAGTGCAATCTTAGATTTTATCAGTTGAAGTTAGGTATTTTTATCTACTTAAGAGTAAAATTATTAATTTGGGTAAACCAGAACTACCTATTTCATTTTTCAAATAAACAGGCACAAGTAAAGAGCCTCGGTCTTGAAATTCGTATTTTGTCACGTCCTCTGTGAATGTCCCGCGCTTGTGGCTGCACAACAGCAGCTGCTTCCACGCTCCCTTCTCTCTCTTCCGTCAGCATCGAGCCTGATCGTATTTGTCTCCTTTGACGCACCGGTTTTCACCGTTCCAAAAGGTACCAGAGCTTAAATTGTTGTTGTTTTTACGACACTGATACTAATTACGTTATTTCTCCCCTTTTCGCGCTCCTTCACTTTATTCTTCACTTTCAACGGCGCCTCCACCACTTCACATCATCATCCCACGTGCTCACTACTGTTTTCAGTTTTCACAATGCCGAAGGAAATCAAAGAGATCAAGGACTTTCTCCTGACGGCGCGCCGCAAGGACGCCAAGTCGGTGAAGATCAAGAAGAACAAGGACAATGTGACCAAGTTCAAGGTCCGCTGCAGCCGATACCTCTACACGTTGGTGATCAATGATCGCGAAAAGGCCGAAAAGCTGAAGCAGTCGCTGCCTCCTGGTCTTCAAGTGAAGGAAATCTAAGTGACGAAAGCGGCTCGTGTGTTTACTTTTGTTTCGCGTTAATAAAGATTTCTTTTCCAAAAACTACAACTTTGTCTGCACTTTCTTTTCTGCCTGTTTGTGGACACCACAACAACACTTCCGCTCACTTCTCACACACACACAATGACAACAACGGCTGCAGCATCCAACTCGGTCTTCATTACTGCGGCCCTCAAGCGCCGTCGTATCCTAGCTTCAAAGATCATCCTCGTTCCTTATGCTCGTCACCTCGTACCCAAGTACAATCAATGGATGCAAAACACCGAGTTGCAATTTCTCACCGGCTCCGAACCGCTGAGCCTCACCGAAGAGTACGCCATGTACGAGTCGTGGACTGCTGATACGAACAAGTGCACCTTCATCGTCCTCAATCGAGCCGCCTACGAGGCCCAGTCAGAGGGACAAGTAGCAGATGAAGAGCGGGAAATTGCGTCCATGGTCGGCGATGTCAATTTCTACGTCCTGGACACCGAAGAAGGCATTGCTGAGATTGAAATTATGATCGCAGAGCCGTCGGCCCGAGGTCGTGGATTTGGTAAAGAGGCTGCTCTTGTGATGATGCAGTTCGGCCATCAAATGGCCAAGGTGCAAAAGTACGAGGCCAAAATAAAAATAAGCAATGAGCAGTCACAGAAGCTCTTTGCTGGCTACTTTGGATTCCGCGAAGTGTCAAGAAGTGCCGTCTTCGGAGAGATCACCTACGAGGCTGACCTGACGGGCGAGTGCCAACTGAAGGAACTCTTTGCGGGCGTCCAAGTTCAGCACCAATTGCTCGGCTGATTTGTGCTCTCTTGTTTTCCAGTTCCCTTTTGCCATCTCCACTTGTTGTCGTTAATTCTGTTCCCTTTGAAAAATAAATTCCCCAAAGCAGATCACGGACACAGCTGACCGTAATCTGTGAATGGCGCCAGGCGCTCCGTTTTCGAGTAAGAGCGACGTGCCTGATTAGCGTTCCCTGTGTTACAGAGGTCAGCACTGTGCAGCGCTGGTAAAGCTCAGCCTGCCTGTTGTTGACACTGTGGAAGAGAGAGCCAGTCCACGGCACAGAGTCTATGCCACTCCTTTTTGCGCTCTCTACTCTCTACACAGTGGTCGGGTGAGTGTGACCCTACTGCTGCTGCCATTTTTGATGCTAGCTCTCGCTCACTGTTTAGTTTGTGAGCTCCTTCCTCACGACACTGTAAACTCAACGGCTCGTTCTGGAGTGCGATTAGCCACAACGCTGAACTCAAGTCAACTTTGCGTCTACCTGGTTGTGTCCGCGAGGCTCTTCGAATCGCCTCAACAGTGCCAGGACTTCTACTTCTCCTTCGCCCTCCTGCACGATGGAGACCATCGAAATTAAGCCAACAGAAATAATCTGCCTGCAGACTAATGACTCGCTGCTAGAACTGGACTCACTTCGAAAATGCCTGAACGCTCTTCTCGAGTACAAAAACTATGCCGCGAAAATCTACTCCGATCTGAATCTGGTTGCCGACGAGAAGCACCGGTTTGAGTATGAGCGCATCGAGCAGCGCTTCACCGAGGCAGTCCGCGGCAATGAGCAGACACTGCAGCGGTACCTGCAGGAGGAGTGGACGACGACGACCGACGAGTACGGCACTACGCTGCAGACATTCTGCGATGCAAACATGGACGGCGGAGATGTTGCCCAGACGTACACCATTCAGATGCCCGGCAATGGCACCCACATGGTGGCTGGCGGCTCCAGCCAGTCGGTGGACAGTCTGAACAGCAGCTACAGTCTGGGCGAGAAGAAAGACGTTATGGCGATAGCGGCAGCAGAAGTGGTCATGCACTCCTATCGCGACGGCCTCTACATCTGTGGCTGGCCGAACTGCGAATACCAGACCTCCAGTCGGCGCCATATCAACAACCACAAGATTGTACACACGGGGGATGGCGAGTTCAACTGCGGCTTCCCCGAGTGCGGACGTCGCTTCAAGACCCGCGAAGAGCTTAACGAGCATGCCGCTATGCACAACTCCGACCACCCCTACCCCTGTGTGTGGCCGGGTTGTGATTTTCGTTCACAGACGCCCGCTACGCTCAAGGCGCACATGCGTGTCCATATGGAGCGGAGGTTCAAATGTGTGGCTCCCGATTGCCCGGAAGAGTTTCCGAAAATGAACGAGCTCCAGCAGCATAGGCGGACACATGACTCACAAAATGGCGGCATCACGGTCGCCACTTCATCAGGCCAGTCGCAGCATCCTTCGCAGCAGCAGCAGCAGCAAATGATCCAGCAGTCATCCCCGGTGACACAGCAGCCACAACAGGTAACCCTCGTTACCCAGCCTGGCCAGCCTCAGCAGATTGCTCAGATCATTGCTACGAACAGCCAGGGCCAAGCGGCGACGTCACTTCAACAATCGCAAATCACCGGCCAACTTCAGTCTGGACAACAGGTAACGCTGATTCAATTACAACAACCTCCTAATGCTAATGTGGGGAGTCATGCCATTGCTCACAAGACTATCGTCACTCAGCAGCAGCAGCAACAACAGCAGCAGCAAGCTGGTGCCCAGGTGGCCATGAACCAGCCCCAGCCAATCACTACCGCCATTGCTGTTGCGGGAACGAACACCATGATCAACACTCAACTCTTCAAATGCAATAATCACGCGTGCAACGCCCTATTCTCCACTCTGTATGATCTCAAGCAGCACATGATGCAACACTCAAAGGTTGAAAAGCCTTTTCGGTGTGATTATTCAGGGTGCGAGTATTCGGCATATACAAAGACTGCCCTCAATGAGCATAAGATCACGCACTCAAATGAGCGGAATTACGTCTGTCCGGTGGACAACTGTGGCCGACGGTACAAGACGCGCAAAGGCCTCTGGGATCATTCACATACACATCGGCCGGATAAACCCTACTCTTGTACTGTTCCCAATTGTACTTATCGCTGTGTCAGTTCAAGTTACTTACGCTCTCACATGCGGGCACATAAGGAGCCCAACTCAGTGGCCAGCCAGCAGGCAAATTCTCCATCGCCGGCACCGAGCAACAGCAGTGGAAACAACAACGGCAACAGCAGCAGCAGCAACACTGTGACCATTCAACAACAATCGCAACCTCAACCTCAGCAGCAACAGCAGTCGGTGACTGTGGTACAGCAACAGCCTCAAGTTCAGCAAGCAACGGTGTCTGCTGCACCCGGACAGCAGCAGCAGTTTTTTGCTCCAGGAACCATCATTCAGCACCCGAACGGCGCCCAAGAGTTCTTTTGCGGCATCATCAACTGTGGTAAGTCATTTGACAATCAGATGGCCTACCTGAACCACGTCAAAACACATGCGCCCACAATTGTCACCGGTGCCGCGCAAACATCTGCCGCTCAAGCAACCGCTGCAACTCCTACCTCACCGAGAACGCCAAAAAAGAAGAAGAATCGCAACCCTGATCATGCCCGCTTCAAGTGTGAGTTTGAAGGCTGCAGCGCTGCTTACAAGTTGAAACGAAACTTGAAGGACCACATGATTCGCCATACCATTCTCGAGAAACCCTACCGGTGTGATTGGCCTGGCTGCGATTATGGCTCCTACAAGTCGACAAATGTAGCGAAGCACAAATCAGTGCACTCTGACGAGCGCAAGTACGGCTGTGACTACTACAACTGCGAAAAGAAATTCAAAACTCGCGAAGGACTGCGAAAGCACATGCTTTCACACCACAAACCTTCGCCGGGTACCGCCACCAAATTGGAGACCCCTTAATCGGACGCTCTGCTGAAGGAGGCTGCTGTCTGCTTTCGATCCATTCCACTCGCTGTCCGGTGTCCGTCTTGTAGCTAGCTCCTAGCCACAGATCGACAGAGAAGTACAACCACTGTCGATTTTCCTCATCACTGGTTGTCGTAGTTGCCTTCTTCTCTGTGCCCCTCTTCTTCACATCAGCAGCAGCAGCAGCAGCAGCAGCAGTGGCTGCTCAGCACCAACAACACCACATCCACCACATTCACCACCACCGCCGTCGGCACCACCACCACCACCACCACCACGACCACCAGCGGCAACACCACGACGGCGACGGCCAGCACACGACCACGACGGCCACAACTACCACGGCCACCACAACAGCACACACCACACATGGTCGCAGTTGGCAGGAGCACAGCCACTGAGCGAACCAGCCACTTCCCTAGTCTCCCTTACCAATACCTTCATTGCTTCGCTAATTCATTAGATCTCATCTCTTTCGCTACTACCGCGCTCTCTGTCGCCTTCATCCTTCACCATACACACCTACATACACCCCACATTAGAGTCCTCCTGAGCTCGACAAGACATTTTATATATATTTATTTATCGCAACGCTTTCCATCCGATGCTGATTCAACCATTACTATCTTTTGCTTTTTATTTTATCATTTATTGTATCCTTTGTTACCAGTTTCTTTTTTACTTTTCTTCTACTATTACTTCCTGTATCTTATCAACATGTAAATTCAATCAGTTATTTACTAAAACTAAAATCATGCAATCTTAAATTTACAACAAAATAAATACATTTTTTGTTTTATTTAAAAATCGTGTTCTGTTTTAAACAATCATAGTATAAAGGGTTGAATCAAAGTATAAGACGAAGTCAAATCATGTTCTGATTGGGCTGCAGATTATACCATTCATGTGCATTAAGCTTGGGCACTTCTTCCAGTCATTAATTTGTTTATCAATTGTAATCAATTTAGTTTCTAAATCAACAAGTGGTTCGGTTGATGATGTTTTATAAAAAAAAGTAAAAGAAGGAACAGCTAATCAAAGGCTAATTTGTAATGGTTGTTGAAACAAACGCAAGTTTTCAATAGAAACATTACGACAACTTAGCTAAAACGGATTCAATTGTAATGAATAGCTTACAGGTTAATACTTTTTATTCTATCAAATAGTTGTTGGTAAAATTAGAAAACCTAAAATGTAAAAGTTTTTTCGCAAATGCAAGCAAAACCTTCAGAATCTAAAGTTCAGATGGAAGCAGCTTTTTTGTGGTGAAGAAAAGACCAGTCAGCTGCCTTTTCTTTCTGCCGCATTACCATAGCGACAATCTAATGGCCTGTGAAATGCTCCTTTTCAGAAACTGACTGTTTGCCAGTTGATCTGCTCACCACAGCATCGGAAAGGGAGTATCGATTCACTGATTAGGATGTATGCAAAAGCATTTTTGAAATAGTGTGAACTGTCTTTTTGCCTTCAATTGCCCGTGATGCAGTGATTTGAGTCCCCTTTCAGAATGAATGAAAAGGTATGCGCCGTGGATGCGTTCCATCGTGCCTCGTCGATCAGCGGCACGCGTGCAGTCGTTGACTGTTCCCTGCCGCTCGACATGTTTGCATCCAGCTCACAACTGCTTGCTCCTGGAACGATTAACGCACTCTTCTGTGACCGTTTGTCTAGGGTTCCTTCGTCCGTTAAAGTCCTCTGTTTCTCTCTCTCTCCTTCCGTCGGCACGTGCTGCGCAATCTTCGAGAGCGGGTACTGGTCGCGCGAGCTTTCGCGAGCAGCAGGCGGTCGCTCTCCATAGATCACCGTTCCATAACGAGTCCGGCGGCTTTCCTTGGCACGCATACTACTGCTCACAGTGCTCTGGAACGAGTCTCGCACTAAAAGGAAAAGTACATCGCTCGCATTCTCAACGGTTTTCTTCGTTGACTTGTCGGCTGTGTTTTCCGTTTCCATTTACCGACAGCAACGACGATCGTCTCAGTTGTCAAATATTTGTCCGTTGTCCGACCGTTCGGTTACCCGTCGACCGTTGATGTCTTTGCTCTGGAA